AATTAATATTCAAAATTTTATTAAAAAATTTAAATATTAAAAAAATTAGTAAAAATCTTCACAGGCAAATTTGCCTGCATTACAATTTAAGAGATAGCCTAAGGGTAAATGACAAAGCCATGCCTCTTTCATTCTCATTGCCGGAATAGAGATACTTTCTGCTTTGGTATTTTTTTCTTTCTTACTTTTCTTCAATGGGCATACCATAGCAACCTGTGATGGAATTGAAAATTGAAGCTTTTTACGATTAACACAGGTATAAATATCAGAAAAACAGTCTAAAAGAAAACATGTGGTTTTCCGTGTTAAAGTTTCAATATTCCGAGATGAATATTGATAAATTGCCCAAGTTGAATTGCGAACAAAGTTTTCCTTAAAGCCATCGTCTTCAAATTATAAATAATTGATAAATCGTGCTTTTTTTATTATTTGATCGGCCGTAAGATACTTTTCCATATTGCATCGCAAAATACTGTGAAAAATTTCCACAGGTGCATCAGAAAATTTCGGTAATTTAGCACTCATTGTTTTTAAAATTGGATGATTTTTGGATTGCCAATAGAAAATATCTGAAAGAAACATTAAAGGTGCTTTAGAATAATTTTTATGCTGAAACTTAAGAAAAAGCACCCATACTCGAAAACAAGATTCGATATAAGAATTAAAATCTCCTGCCCGAAAAAATAAAGCATAAACGTCAAGAACCAATGGAATTGTATTATCCAACAAGTCTTTAAGCGCCAGGTATTCTGCATCTTTGCATATATATCCATATTTTATTTCAACCATCTTTGCAATCTCTTGCCATGCACTACGTGAAAGTTCTAGCAATAAATTGATATGCCATGGCTTTGGTTTTAGAGGAAGATTTTTCTTTTTATCAAATATGTATTTGTACATTTCGGAGAAGAATGGTTGATACTGGAGAAGTACTAACTCACGACTATTAAGCGAGATGTGTAAAGGACCTATTATGGGAAGAAATGATAAAACTTTATTAGTGATGCCAGAATAACTACTATAAAAAAGATACTGTAATATAGCCGTTCTTAAGTTTATTTGACTAGGCCAATCAGCGACGACTGGAATAACATTGCCGTTTTCAATATATCTACTTATTGTTGAGGAGAACATAGCGACATCAATGGCCTTAAGATAATCTTCCATTGTATAAAGATTACTCTCAACAAGATCCACGAGTACGGTGTCTTTTATTGATCTTATACTTCTCTTTTCTTTTAAACGAACGTTGTAACTATAGACTGTCAACTCTTCAAGCTTGGTTTCATCATCCACAGAGCGAAATCCCCAATGTCGATTATAAGAAAACGAATATGTTGACATAAAATAATTTTCAATTCCAGTTTTGATCAGTAAAGCATCAATGAGGGTAAGGTTATGGATATCTTGTCTTGGTATTGCTGGTTGAGTTTTAACCGGATTAAGTAAAATAGTAGCGAGATGTGCTAGCGCAGACGTCGTGGTTGTGATAGGCATTTTTATGGTGTGGATACTATGATAATCATCAATATTTAAAATTAGTGCATTGTTGACACTATTCTCAAGATTGGTATCCACAATATTTTGATGCCTTTCAAATACAGAATTCTTATGTTGGGAAATTGAACAAGACGTTATTGTCAATCCCAATGTCGCTAAAGTGTCTATCGTCGAATTAGGTGTTCCCGTAGAATCTAAATACATTCCTAAATCTCTTTTTGCATTGTTAACAAACTTATTTCTAATACCACAAATAAAATAACATAAAAATACCAATTGTTTTGATACTTTTTCCATTGTATTTATGCTTTTTCTTCTCGGATTAGTCAATAAATATAATTCTTCAAAAAAGGACTTTAGCCGCTGATCTTTTGATTCCATAACTGCGTGAAATTCTTCGAACTCCCAAACCGGCAGTAATTTATTATGTTCTCTCTCATAAAGGGCATCCGTAATTACTTTCACAGCCTGTGAAAAGGTTAAAATATCGCTTTCAATAGAAGTTTCTAACTCTTCAAATTCCGGTTCTTTACAATGTTCTAATGCATGTTTCTGAAATTCCGCCGAGGTATTTGTCACGATTCCGTTATAACAGTTCAAACAAATCGTGGCACCTAGTTGGACATAACTTGGCAAAGTTTCGTTAGCTTGACCTTTAGAAATAACAAACTCTGTTACTTTTTTCCAGGTAGTCGACTGTCTTTGGCATATAGTAATCACACATGGTCCATTATTAGTAGCAGTTCGTGGCATTTTTGTCTTCTAAGTAAACTTCTTCAGGATTTAGATTGTTTTTAGATTATTTTGCACAGTGAACGTTGACACTATTCTAAAGCTATAGATGGATTTTTGTAACAATTTTATTTGTAAAACATTAAGTTCCTGAAAAGTATTTTAAAACGTATAAATAAGTTACCCGGGCAATTGATGTGCATCAGCCAATCAGACGAACTTCTTCCTATGAATTTGAAACCGCAAATAAGATACCTATAGGATACAATTCGGATTCATATATCAGCATTCAAGACATATCGGCAAAACGATAGCTCAATCGATAGAGCTATAAGATAAGCTCTATCGATTTACCTATCGATTTGCCGATATGCCTTGAATGCTGATATGAATCCGAATTGTATCCTATAGGTGCGCCAAATGGGGAATGGACTAGGAAAACCTGCCGAAGGCAGGTTTTCTTAGTCCATTCTCCAAATATCTGCTTCAAATCGGGTTCATATCAGGATCTTGTGATCTTATTTCGACCTGTGAATAGATTTTGTAAATCGATAATCCAAAAACTTGAAAATCAAAGTTTTTTTGTGAGCACTAATATAAGCACAACCTCTTTATAAGCACATTTTTAAAAAAATTTACTGTCTAATTGTATAGAGAGATAACTGTAAAAAATTTAAATATAAACTATATACAATAACTAAAATTGTATATGTGGCTATATAGTATTGTATTATATATGACTATAAGTCTTTTTTCTACCAATTACAGATATAAAAGCTCTTTTAACAAATTAATTAATTAATTTTTTTTTTAAATAAAAAAAATATATATATTTGTTGTATCTAATAATTGGATAAATATTAAAGCTACAGTATAAAATAAAATAAAATTAATTAGCTATAAAAAGTAAACAAATATTGTATAGTTCGAATCCTCTACTCGGCCAAGCCCGGTACCAGGTTTAAATCCGACTCATATATAATATTGGATCGGATTTAGCCCGATTCATTTGAAACTCTAACTCCGTATGTGTGTGAAAACCCAATAGATCAATTTTTAATTTTGATTGTTGTCATTGAAAAAAAACTTACTTGTTTGCACTTGTATTCATTAACTTATTTGACAATTTTCCCTGACAATCATAATCATAGTCTATTAATAAACATTTGTATAACGGTAGTACTCATTATTGTAAATAGAAAGTAATTCCCAAAACGTAAGCCACATTGCTTTGTAGAAACAATGCCCCAAGTTAAGTGTAAAGATTTCCACGTGATTTATCCTTAAATGACCCAACAAATTTAGTTCATGTGTTATCCACATACTATCCACATTAATACGTATGCATGTCGTAAAAAGCATGTATGTAGTAGATCATCAATTTTCTTTATCGTTATGACTTTAACGTTAACGTTCTTGTTAGCTGGATTGATCAATTTTTTATTAAAAACTGTCATTTATATTTTTCAAAAAATGTCTACTCAAATAAAATCTATCATACCTTCTCACAAACCTCTCCCTGCACTTCCAACGGAAAAAGAAGAGTCACAAGAAATTATGAACCATTCAAAATTAAATTCAACTAATCTTCCTCCACTACCGCAATCTAATGACTTAATGTTGGATAGTAGTTCGCTTGGACATATTCGAAAACTCTTAAGGCAAACCTTAAATAATTGCAATTTAGCTAACGATCCTTGGGAATCAATAATTCTGGGAATTATACTTGATATTTCTGGAATTGTAATTAAAGTTATCGATGGTTTACAATCAAGTCCGACTGCTTCTGATAATCCCGCTACCGAAAACACTGGATTAGAATCAAGTTCTGAATCAGAATACAATCGCAAGTCTCTGGAAAAATTCGTTATCAATATTAAAAAGGATGATAATGGAAAACCAACAGACTCACAATTTATTTTTAATTATTTTGAAGGCACACCTTTATTTAAGCATGAATTAGATGAAGGTACGAAATTATAAAGTTGCTAATATTATAATCATAGTTGAACTAATTATATGGTTATGATATAGGACTGGATTCTTCTAAAGAACCAAAAAAGCGATGGGTAGGTGGTACCATCGTTCTTAAAGGTGCTAAGAGAAATGGGGTAGATAAAATAATTGAACTTATGGTTTTCGTTGTGTGTAATCTAAAGTTGGAAATGTGTTTATATCGAGATCATTTTGTTAGACGCGATGAAGTTGAGGATATCCAGGATGCTGAAGAGGTTAAAAACACATTGCGATCTTCTAGACGTCGTTCAAAATCATCTTTATTTGGATGGTTGATGAAACATGGAAATTTGCAAAATTATAAAGAGCATATAAATGAGAAGCGTGAGAAGCGTGAGAAGCGTGAAAAGCATGAGAAGCGTGAGAAACGTGAAAAGCAAGGATCATCTCTGGTTAGATGGCCTTCAAAGTCTTCATTAGGCAGGACTTCAACATTAACTTCAACATTAACTTCAACATTCACTTCAACATTAACTTCAACATTAACTTCAACATTCACTTCAACATTAACCAAGGAACCTCTTTCTGTTGTTGATTGTGATGATGATACGATAATGTTAACAAAAAACACTTTTGCTAATGTAATTAATCAAATGGAAACAACTATTTTATCTGCATCTCCTGGAGTAAAATTTCCGCCTCCACATTTACTGATGAGATTAGAAGAGGAAGAGACTAATGTTAATTCGAATATCGGTGATATTAACGTAGATTTTGATACCATTTCGACTGAAAAATATCGGACTTATGCGCCGTTATTCAGGTCTGGACAGGTATCCCTAGATTTCAAAACTGGTCTTTCATATCTTATGACTCGAAGTAATAATACACTTAAAGGTGTATTTAAGCATCAATCAATATCGTTTTCATATGCCAGATTTTGGTCACCAAATTCACCTGTTCTTTGTCACAACCATGAGATTATTACGATGGATTATTATAATAGGACCAATTCTCACATGGATAAGTCCCTTGGTGAATTGATCGATGAACTGTGCGACAAAGCTTATGATATATGTGAAGATAAAACATGTGAACATCGAGGAATTGATCATGTATCCACATATACACATAACAATGGAAGAATAAGTATTATCGTTGAAGAATCACCACCAGATCCTAATTTGAAAACTTTCACTAATAAAATTGTTATGTGGACTCAATGCAAGTTATGTTCTGCAAAATCACCTATATTTATTATGTCGTGTTCGACATACCTTTACTCTTTTGCCAAATATCTCGAATTATTAAATTATAACGAAGATTTCATCTGCAAAGATTTATGTCCGCACGTTGAATTACGTGATCCATTGCTTCGGTGCTTTCGTAAAGGAAATTTTGTTGTAAAAATAGAATATGAGCATGTAGACCTTTTTGAAATGCGATTGCCAAAAGTTCAAATAACTCTAGATAAGCAAGCTGCGTCTTCGGTAGAAGATGTCGAAAAACTTTTCGTTATCGATTATGAAGATGCACAAAGGTTATATAATGAAACTAGATTGGAAATTACCTATTTTTATCTTTCAGTAAAACAACATATTACTTCATTGGAAGATTATCTTCGATCTTTACATATAGAACAAACCAACAGCAATGTCGAAGCCACCGTGTCCGAAAAAACTATTCATGCAATTCGAACATTAGATGAAATGACAAGGAATTTTTATGAAGACGAATTCAAACTCTATGATATGTTGAAAAAAACAAATGCAACAGTTCTAAATAATGCTCGACGAACTTTAGTTGATCGGTTCAAGGCGACAAAAAAACAAATGTTGCAATGGCAAAAGGAAAATATCATTGAATCAGATCTAGCAAAATTCAATGAAATCAAATGGACAGAACCGGAATATTCAAGGCATCCTTCTTTATTTTATTTAATATTGCATTCATTCATTATTTATTAAATACTAAGATTTATTTATTTAAATAGTTCCGATACATGCCATGTTTTTCCTGAGTCGCCTATTATAACCAGAGAAGATGAACCAAGTTCCATTATTGCCTTTACATTGAGGTATATAGAAGCTTGTGGCTTGCTAAGCATTATTTTTTAACGTATTTTATAAATGGATTTCATTCAATATCTTCATTTTTATAGTTCGCAAGGATATTTAAATGAATTGTCAATATTGCGTTATGATAGAAAACGGCAATTATCACAATCGGCTCCTGTAACACCTGTTTCGGAGTTTCACGCGCCAACACCATCAGCATCTTTTTCCTTATTACTTGGTTCATTAAAGAATCCGTCTTCGTCGGATATCTCTAAACATAGTGATTCTGACATAGATGGCGATGGATCTCATTCTACAGATGAATATTCCATCAAGACAAAACGAAAGATCATAGAATATGGATTTAGTGACAAAATCACCTATGGTATTGAGTCCCTTGGGTCGATTAAGCCATTTAATTTAACTTTAACTGGTATAATAGATAAGAAGAAAGATTCCGAGAAAGATATGGAAAAAGGTGCTCCACAGCGAAATGGGAAGTTTCCAAATCTTTTTGGAAGCAATAATACTGATCCAGAAAAAGTTAAAGACGTTGGAGTTGAAAATGAAAAGCAAGATTTTAATGAAAAGCAAGATTTTAATGAAAAACAAGATTATAATGTGATAAAAGAGGTAAAAGATGAGAAGCCGGAGAAGCCGGAGATTAGTGTTTCCGAAGCTAAAAATGGGCTAAGTGAGAAGGAGAATTTTAAAGTTAAACCTACTTCTCTTCCATGGACCCGGAAAAATCAAAGACAAAAAGATCATGGCAGTCCACATATAAAACATAGTAATTTTCAATTTATATTTATTTATTGTAGTGTTGTATCTGTAGATCTTAACTTTAATAAGTTTGTTGATATTTTTTTTTTTTAGAGGCCATTCATGGAAATAAACGAATCACTTGCACAGTATACTTTGCAGAACAATTCGATTGTTTACGGCGTAGATGTGGCATCGAGGATATTTATGTGGATTCATTGTCTAGATGCACCTCATGGAAAGTAACCGGAGGTAAAAGTGCTAGTACATTTTTTAAGACGCAAGGTAATGTTGGATTTCTTTAAACATCATTGTTATTAATGAATCTTTATAAGAAATTTATATAAGTTCGGACTATAATAGATGACAGACTAGTCATAAAACAGATGGTTAATTCTTGGAAAATTTCGGAAAGAGAAGCCCTATTACAATTTTCTCCAAAATATTTAGAATATATGAATCAATCTTCAGATGTATGTAAATTATATACACTTTTTGAGTTCTTTGTTAAAGTTTTCTTAATTCGTCTGATCAATTTTCTTTATATAAAGAAACCTTCAGTATTAGCAAAAATATTTGGATTTTATAGCATAAAAATAAAAGATCTTAAAAAGAATAATATTATATTGAAAATGGATGTTCTTGTAATGGAGCAATTATTTTCTGAAAAAACTATAACAAGAGTATGTAATGAATCTTGCAAATAATAGATAATAGTAATTTTTTAAATTATTCGCCATAAATAATAGCCATTATACATTTACAGAAATTTGATTTGAAAGGGATACAAGAACGTCATACAAAAGAACATCTAGATGATGCTACATTATGGGATGGTGATTGGGTAGATGGTAAGATTATATACTAATTTAATTATATATATTTAACGAAATTTAATCCAACCTTTACTAAAAATTATATAGGTCAATATAAATCAAGATTTTTGACATATTCCTACAGCAAAAAACTTCTTAGAGAAGCTATAGCTAATGATACACAATTCTTGTGTGATGCGAATATCATGGATTATTCATTATTAGTTGGAGTTGACGACGAAAAGAAGGAATTGATTGCAGGAATTGTTGGTAAGTACTTTTCTTTTTGGATTTAAATAATTTACATGCACAGGTCGAACTTTAAAATTTCGATAAGATTTCAGTGAGATATCAGCGGAATATCGGACGTTTATAAAACCAGATATTTGGCACGTATTGCAACCTATCGGATAGATATTGCATCCGATAGTTAATAGAAATGTCAGATTTCTATATGCCTATCGGATGCAATATCTATCCGATAGGTAGTAACACGCGCCAAATATCGGGTAGCTATCAGCCTTATAAACGTCTGATATTCTACAGAAAATCTTGTCGAAATTTTGAAGTTCGACTTGTGATGATGCTTATAGATCTATTAATACATAATTTTTACGTGTTCAGATTTTATTGGTGAATACACATTTTATAAAAAGATTGAATCCCGTGGAAAAACGCTTGGCCGTAACGCAAAAGAAGTTACGGTAATACCACCAGATCAATATAAAGATAGATTCCGAGATTCAATAGAGCAATACTTTTTAGCTATACCAGGTAATGCAAATGTTTTTAATTTTTTATGATCACTGGTCTATATTCATTAACATATATCTTTGGTATTTGAAATAGACAAATGGACAAAAACATATATATTTGATAACAGTCCACGGTCGGATGAGCAAAATCCACCTCCGTCACCGATTTCACCAATTTCACCAATTACACAAATCCCTCTTTCATTTAAATTACCAAGTGTACTATAACATGTATTTTATATAAAAATTCAATATTTTTGTAGGATTCCTTTGCATTTTATTGCAGTGACTCGGTAAGTGTATTTATAGTTGATACGTAATTGTAATTTTTTATTCACTAGTGTGGACTGTTCTGAATATGGTATTTTTATGGCGGTTTACTTTAGTTTTAGTTCATATTTTTAGTTATTAGATAGTTTCTTTTAATTTAAAAACGTCACAAATAATGTATAAGATAATAGGTTCAAATATTCGAATCATGCGAACTCATTCTTCATATATATTACTATAATAAATCTAATTTACTGTACGAATTCAAATTAAAGTCGACTTTATTTATTGATGCGATTATGTTGGATCACGAAATATGCAAAAACAAATAAAAATCAAAAATTGCTGGTAAGTCATTTATTTGATGTCGTAGATGAAATTGGAGGTTTCAGTTAACCCCAAAAATCCACTTATATCGGTATAGAAATATTCTCTTTTATGTGTTTACGTGTATTCACCCAGAAACCTACTGCTGTCAGTTATATCTGCTAAATTTTTAAAAGCCTTAAACCTTCATAGTAAAGAAGACGCTCTTCGCTCAAACGTATATTGTCTTCTGATGATTTCATCATGGATAGGATTGTTCCGCTAGGGGCATTCTCTTGAAGAGTATTTGAGATCTGATGATTTCATCATGGATAGGATTGTTCCGCTAGGGGCATTCTCTTGAAGAGTATTTGAGATCATTTCAACAGCTGATGCAGAGATTTCGAATAGGAATAAAAGAGCAAACCTGGAATGAGCTTATTAGATCGTTAAATGATACGATAAAGGACTTTATTTTTTGCCAAAAATATTACTTCCAATTTAAAATATCATTTTAGCAAAATGACGTGGATCAGGATCTTGATTATTGATGAGAGCAACTCACATTGCTAATGGCCAGAAAAGCAGCAGAAAACTGGTATCATTACTCATCAAATAAAGAGTGTAACGACGAAGTGAAGTCATCGACGAAAGAATAATTTTGAAAAGGTATTGATCAATTCCCGGCCCAGAACGACTACGCATTCCGACCCGGAATTTTGGCATTGCCCTGTAAAAAACGTAACGGTTATATTTTCGAGTAGCGCAAAAAAATTGGCGAACCTGTGACTAATTCAACGACGATGTGATCCTAATTTTTGATATTTGCATTAATACAAATAAAAGTAATTAATTTTTGTGTCGAAAACTTTATACTTAATGACAGGAAGCTTTATTTTTTTTATTTTTTTTCCATTCCACCTGTTTACAAAATCATAGCAGAAATTTTTAACAGCTGAGATTTACATGACCTCCTGCATTGCGAATACAAAGTAAATTTTCCAACTATATATATTATTATATAACGATAATTGGAAATTTTACTTTGTATTCGAAGATATGCAAATCCGGATTACACTTGACGCACCTCACGAGGCAGGGCAACTGTTAAAACTCGATAAAAATCTCTGCTCAAAATCATTAGTGTTATCGGATTATTTTTTTAATAAATTAAGTAACTCGATTGCCCGGTTGGCCCGATTGTAAGAATTGTACAATTTAATGCCGAGCCTAAATAGCTTAAATCGTCTACTTTTAATAATCGGTATCACAGCCCCCTGATATTTATTATCTTTTATCCTTGAAGTATTTAAAGTACTATGAGTCAGAGCCACCGGATTTTAGCAATGACAAAAATGGCATTAGCTATATCACGACAAACTTATTTCGGTCAGATTTGGTTAAGTGGTTGTCGTGATATAGTTAGTTTTTGCTATTGCTAAAATCTGGTGGCTCTGCTATGAGTGCATCTAATTTCTTTCATTTACGTTAGTCGATAATTTGATAAATGAGGTATTTAATTGAACGAGTAGGTGGGTATCAATCGAAGTATTGGTTTAAAAGTTGAAAGAATCCATTTTATGATTTAAACTACATATCTGATATATACGATTATTATGTACATAATTAAATATAAAATTTTATCACGAAATGGGAACTCTTTTTTTTTTAATTCATCCATAATTACAAATATAATTACAAATTCGATCTCATTCTTAAACTAAATTAAAATAAGAAACTTTACTGTATTTCATTTTCTAAATATATATATAATTTTACATCATCAAAATGCTATTTATGATACATACCGTACTTATTTTTATTCTGAAACACATAATGGTACTTGTTTTGATTCACGACGATCATTTGTATCATTTATTTTTGCTTATTTCTGTATTTGCGTTTAGTTAGCTTGTGAATACATGAATTTCGTGTGAAAGAATTAAAGTACCCACATTCTATTTGGCGTATTATTTATTTTAGATGTGGGAATATCTTGATAAAAAATACTGATTGTTTCAAATTTTTATTTGTTGAAAATTAATTCGGGGTCACTCACCCGGGTAGCAATAACGACCCGATTAACTACTAAATTTGTCGAATACATTTGGCTTATTGAGAAAAAAGCCATTTTTTAAAAAATACTGGGAACCGATTTTACTAGGTTATCGCTATGTATGTTTTAAAACATAAAAGAAAATAAAGGACTCTTAATATATAAAAACAGAGCTAATTATGTAGCAATAAAACTAGAATTTAATGAGTTTTCATAACGAACTCTGGGTATATATACTGTATATATTTTTTAAATATTATAATACACGTAGCGGAAGTGCTATTTGCTATTAAAAGGTCATCTGATTGGTTGCCTATCTCTGAAATTTTATTGGCTGCTAATAGTAGACGCCCAATCAACCAATCACTAAAAAGTATAAAACACGTCTTTTGTTGAGATCTGCGAAATGCAGAAATACGCGCAATCAGCCAATAAAAATCAATTTCCATTACTTAAATCTGAAAATATATTTTTCTTATTCCACTTATTTCATAATGCTGTAATGTCGAGTGAACTATCAATAAGAATACAGAAAGCAATAGAAGAGTTCTTCAATAAGAATTCCAATTGGACGCTACTTGGGTTTCTTAAATACAGAGCAGAAGCTAGTGATTTTACATACTACAAGGGGTGAGCATAAATTATACCGTGAAGCATTGAAAGCATTATCCAAAGATCACGTTAAAGATTTTTAAATTTTGAGGTCATGTATTATTTATTATTGTTTGAGATGAGTTCAAAAGCTTGAGTAGGTTCAAGAGCTAGAATATTTTCCGGTCCCGGGACAATTACATGACATATTGACAAACCCCGACTAGCTGGCGAAGCAAATCTCAGCTAGTGAAAGTGAAGTAACATGTGCTCTTGAATAGGCTACATAGTTACCGCTATAATGCAACCGGATGGAGACGTTCTAACTGGTTGTCAGGGCATATTCCATATTATAGTCTACTCAATCTTTAATTATATGTTTCAAATAAAATATTATTTAATCTAACAGCAATATCATATTCTGCATTTTCATCAGAATGAGAAGTATCTGAAAGCGTTTATATTTTCTGATCTGAAGTTCATAAGAAACAAGTTAAAGTCGTAAGGGTAAGAGAAATGTTTATACATTTGTATATTTTTAGTTTCAAATAACAATATGTTGATCTTACTATTAGCATGATTTTTTTTATAAGGCTGATGAAATCTTACATATTTTTAAAGCAACAAATAAGAGTCAGCAACATGTTATTAATATTCAACACCAAGATCTCCTTGACTTGTACCCTTATGTATAGAGATATGCAGATATTGTATTTGTTATACAATTTTTTCAAGCCTGACATGGGTTATAACAGTATACTTTATATTTTATTCCAATTTTTTTTTTAGTTTAGTTAGTTTAGGTTTAGTCAGCTTCATAGGAGCTTCTCTTTTTGTTTTTCTTTTTTTATATTTTCTTGTTTTCTCTTTATTATCTTAAATTTTTTTCCTTTTACTTCTTTTTGTATTATCTTTTTTACTTTTTTTTTTTTATGTGCTATAAGCCTTTTATGCATATGTATATGAATTTTACTTTTTTTTGTATTCAGTAAAGAAAGAAAAATCTGAAGAGTTTGGCTCTTGACAGAGCTAATATAATTTTTTGCTTCTTTTGGAAGGTGGCATAATAGGTTGTACTAGTAGTTATTTTTATAAAAAACCAAGTGATACTGGACCTGCTGTATGTGAATATTAGAGCAGATTTTATATATATTTCTTTATCTTTTAATAAAGGTACTGACAAGACTGTTAAAAAGTTAAATATATATATACATATCAATATTAAAGTTAAATTTCAACTAAAAAATATATTATTATACTGTATTAACATTATTAAAACAATAGTTAAAATTTTAATATTCATTAATACTTAATAACAACCAAATTAAAAACTCAGTAAATAAAAGCATGCTTAAAATTTTTAATCAATAATCAAATAATTAGCCACTAGTTTCAATTTCTAATAAAGAATCTTCACAATTAATTAATAACTATGAACAAAATTTAAATTTATAACAAATAACAATTTTCAATTTAATTATTTTTAATAGCAATTTATATCTAATAATAGAGATTACACAATTGTATATAGTATACTAATAAGAGAGGTGTGGCGACTTAGTGTAGTGGTCTAGTTGTCACCCTCTCCAAGTGGCAGGTCTAGAGTTCAAATCCCACGGA